CAGAGTGGGGGGGACTAGATGATATAGGATATTATCTGTATAAAGACGAGTCGATTTGGTGAGCCGGTCGAGAAGGACAAACCGGAAGCGAACCGAGCCGAAAGGCGGGAGTCCACGTGATCGAGCGGCCTAAGGCTCGACCACACAAGTGATCGAACAACCCGAAGCTTGACTGCACAGGTGATCGAGCAGCCCGATGCTCGATCAGACTGGTCGAGCTACCCGCTAATCGACCAGACCAGTGATCGAGCAAGCTGAGTGATCGAGCAAGCTGATCAACATAGGCCCAGACGCGTGTATGGCAGACGCGCGTGAGGGTCTCTGACTGAGCCGCAGGGGAATATTTACCCCATGTGCTGGGTGGACACGTGTCGGCAATGTATTGGGTGATAGCGATAACCACCTCTGACAACGCCCAAACGTCCCGCGGCACCCCTGACATGTGCGCGGCGTGTCAGAGTACGGACGGGCAGCTTGGGCAGCACACGTATCCTTATCCGGGCAGCTATTAGGGCAGGTATCTCACCCCTATAAAAAGGGGATGAGCCTTTCTTCCTTAACACATTCCATTCATTCTCTAAATTCCAGTATACTCATACACATACTGACTTAAGCATTGGAGGCTCTTCACCGGACCCAACCCCCGGTGTGAGAGTTATTTGCAGGTTCTCGGCGTTCTACCGGCAAGGACAAGAATCGATCTACTCCAAACCGGACCCGGACGCTTACACTTGCATTAATATCGTACCTTTCCTGCTTCATTCCCAATTGTTGAAGAAACCTCTTCAACCAAAGCATTTCTTTGCCTGCTTCTGTCATTGCAATATACTCTGCTTTAGTAGTCGACAAGGCAACAGATTTCTGCAATTTATATTGCCAAGATACAACTCCCCCTGCAATTGTAAACACAAACCCTGAAGTAGATTTTCTACTATCCAGGTCACCTGCCATATCTGCATCTGTATAACCTTCAACAACTGGGTTTCCTTTTTCCGAAGCTCAATGACTTATTTGCACTGCCTTTTAGGTACCTCAAGATCCACTTCACAACTTCCCAATGATCCTTCCCAGGATTGGAATGATACCTGCTAACAACTCCAATCGCTTGAGCGATATCTAGTCTAGTACACACCATGGCATACATCAAACTCCCGACTGCTGAGGAGTATGGAACACCTTCCATAGCTTCTTTTTCTTCTTGACTTGTAGGACAACTTCGTTTGCTGAGCTTGAAGTGATTGGCTAATGGTGTATTGACCGGCTTAGCTGATTTTATGTTGAATCTCTTCAGAATCCGATTCACATACCGTTCTTGCGATAACCATAACCTCTTGGATTTTCGGTCTCGCATGATCTGCATGCCCAAAATTTTTTTCGCAAGGCCCAAATCCTTCATTTCAAAGGACTTTGCTAATTCCTTCTTCAAATCACCAATCAGCTTCATATCATGTCCCACTATCAACATATCATCTACATATAGCAAAATGGATAATGAATTTATCACCTGGAAATTTCTTAACGAACACACAATGATCTGCATCAGTCTTGGTTTATCCATGACTCGCCATGAATGAGTCAAATTTCTTATACCACTGTCTTGGAACTTGTTTCAGTCCATACAAGCTCTTCTTCAATCTGCAGACAATGTGCTCTTTTCCAGTCTTCTCAAATCTTTTTGGTTGCTCCATGTAGATTTCTTCATCTAGGTCTCCAAGAAGAAATGCAGTCTTCACATGTAGTTGTTCAAGCTCCAGATCCAAGCAAGCAACCAATCCGAGTACTACTCGAATAGAGCTCATCTTAACAACCGGAGAGAATATCTCATCAAAGTCTATTCCTCGCTTTTGTCCAAATCCTTTCACGACTAAGCTAGCCTTGTATTTCAACAGCTTGTCACCATCTTTCTTAAGCTTGAACACCCATTTATTTTTCAAGGCTTTTCTGCCTTCCGGAATCTTCACAAGCTCATAAGTTTCATTTTCCATCAGTGAATCCATTTCTTCTTGCATGGCTTTCATCCACTGAGATTTATCCTTATAAGTTTGTACTTCTTCAAAACTTTCTGGCGCCCCTTCTTCAGTGATGGTAATATATGTGGAACTAGGGTATATCGTAGACGGTTGGATTGCTCGATTTTATCTCCTGAGCTGAGGTAGAGCTTCGAAGTCTTCCTGCTCAACACCTTCACCATCACCATTTTCTATTGCTGGCTCATCATCAACCCTGAGTTCTCCATCACACTCTCCCCCTGCTGTGGCATCTCCATGAGGCTTGACAGGTGAAAGATACACCTTTCCACTTGGTTCTCTGATTTCTGGTGAAGCAGAATCAGACATAGTTTCTTGCTCATGGAACACTACATCTCTGCTTCTGATAATTTTTCGATTTTTTGGATCCCATAACCTGTAGCCAAATTCCTCATCTCTATAGCCCAGAAATATACAAGGAATAGCTTTATCATCAAGTTTTCGTCTCTGTTCCTTACTTACATGAGCAAAAGCTTTGCATCAAAACACCTTCAAATGAGAGTATTTAACATCATGTCCGGACCATACTCTCTCAGGGATATCAAAGCCCAAAGGAATAGATGGAGATCGATTGATCAGGTAGCACGTCGTTAGAACAACTTCACCCCAGAATGGCTTAGGTAGCTTAGCCATTCTTAACATACACTTCACTTTCTCCATAATGGTTCTGTTGATTCTTTCAGCCACACCATTATGTTGTGGGGTTCCAGGTACAGTCTTCTCATGCCTGATGTCATGCTCGGCACAATAATTCTTTAATTTATGGGAAGTATACTCACCCCCATTATCTGAGCGAAGACACTTCAAAGGTTTACCAGCCTATCTCTCCACCATAGCATGAAACCTTTTTAAGTATTGAAAAACTTCACCCTTCGTTCTCAAAAAATACACCCACAATTTTCGTGAAGCATCATCAATAAATTTAACGAAATATCTGCTACCACCGAGACTCTCTACTTCCATGGGTCCACATACATCAGAATACACCATCTCCAACACATTTTCTTTCAGCTTCGAGGTTTTGCTGAAAGATACTCTATGATGCTCCCCAAAGAGACAATAATCACAAGGATTCAGTTTTGAATCTTTGGAAAATGGGATGAGGGACTTTCTTGCCAAAATTTGTAATCCTTTTTCACCAATATGAGCCAGTCTTTTGTGCCACAAATTTGGCGAAGCATCATCTTCGACTGCATTCAATCCTCCCTTGATCAGCTTCACTTGAGTTCTGTACAGTGTCGATCTCACTGTACCTCTAGCAGCTAACAACGATCCTTTGGTAAGCCTCCACGTGCTGTTACCAAAATTGTTAGTATAGCCTGCTAGATCCAATGCATGCACATAGATCAGATTCAGACGTAAGTCTGGTATATGTCGTTCGTCCTTCAGTGTTATTGTGCACCCAATATCAGTTTGAATGCACACATCACCAACTCCCACAATATTTGTAATGCTGTTGGTTCCCATATTTACTCTACCAAAGTCTCCTTCTTTGTATAGAGAAAAGAATTCCTTGTGAGAGGTTGCATGGTATGATGCTGCTGAGTCAATGACCCATTCAACACATGAATCAGCAACATGACACTCTTCTTCTTCTACAGAGAGCAACACCACTTCCCCATTAATCACTGGGTTGTGGTATTTTCATCCTTCTCTGTCTTGTTATTCCTCCAACCTCTGTTCTTCCAGGCTTTGCAGTTTCTTTTGATATGCCCTTCTTCACCGCAGTGATAATACTTGAATTTTCTCCTGGGTTGTGATTGTGACTTATCTCTGGATTTATTATTCTGGCCTCTGCATTTACTTCTCCCCTAGTTTCTGTGACCAGGGCTTGTGAGTTGCTTGCCCCAGAGTCTTTTCTTCTTGTTTCTTCATTAAACATACTGTCTTTGACTTGGGTCAAAGTCAGTTTTCCTTCAGGAGCAGAGTTGCTCAACGAGACCACCAGAGTCTCCCAGCTATTCGGTAAAGAACTCGAAAGTAACAGCTCCTGCAGCTCTTCATCAAGTTTCATTTCCATGGTAACAAGTTGGTTTACCATGTCTTGAAACTCATTCAAGTGTTCTGCAACTGATCTTCCATCCCGATATTTTAGATTTACAAGCTTTCTAACGACGAAAGCTTTATTCTGTGCAGTCTTTCTCTGGTACATCTGTTCAATTTTGTTCCACAGAGTATGGGCTTTCGACTCTGTGGCAACATGGTGGAATATGCTGATATCCACCCACTGTCGGATTAAAATGACAGCCTTTCTGTATAACTTTTTCCAATCGTCATCCTTCACATCATCTGGCTTGTTGTCTCCATTTTCTACAGGATCGTACAGATCTTTGTAGAAAAGTATGTCCTCCATTTTTGGCTTCCAAATAGAGTAATTTGTTGCTGTGAGCTTCACCATGGTACCCACGTTCTCCTCCATTTAATTTACACTGGCCAATGAGAGCCCAACTTGAGCTCTGATACCACTTGTTGGGCTCAGATACTCAATGCGGAAGATGTAAAATAAAATATCAAGGTAAAATGGTAAAAAATAATCCCAACCTCAGCAACTCAAGAATGACAAAAGAAAATCTCTTGCAATAATACCGGAATAATTCTTTTCTGATGTGGAAGATCAGATTAAACTGCGACCACAGAGCATACTAAGAATATCCCAAATAAATAAAATATGCAAAAAATAAGACACCAAGATTTAACGTGGAAAAACCACCAAATAGAGGAAAAAACCACGGGACAACCTCCGAACAAATCCACTATATATTCAAGATAATTACAATATCTTTTCACACTCCCTTACAATAGAAATGTAAAATATAGTGACCCAGTGAGACCCCACTCCTAAACAAAGAGTAATAGAGTTGATACCCAACCCGGTGTATTTTTTCTACACCCACAGGATTTACTCAAACACTCTATTTTTATCTCACTGAACAATAACACTCAAAGATTTTATTTTTTCTCTCTCTTTTTCTTTCTGCTTCTAAGTGCTTGGTGCATCCTTCAGCAGCTGAAGACCCCTTTATTTATAGTAGAAGATGTCACAAGAACCTGCACCACATAGCTACTTTCTTGCCCCCCCGGTGCCAAATATAAGTTTTTAGCTGGATTAACCAAAATTCATGTGGCAGGATTCTTTTTCTTTTGTTTTCTTTTGCCTACCATTATTATTATTATATATATATATATTTTTTTTTTCTTTCTTTGGTTTGATTCTGACAAAATATATATACGAACATACGAATCAACACATAAACCGAATTCGAAACCCAATGAAACGATAAATAAACCGAACACTTAACTAAAAATCGATTCAAAAAGTACGATTATATTCATTGAATATACACAAAAATATAACGAGGAGGTTCAATAAATAACCTAACTAGGAACTTGACAGGGAATCGGACGAGTCAACGAAAATCGAAAGGAAGAATGACGAAATCTCGGGACTCACCGGACTGCTGCTGCAAACGGGAGAGGGTTCTCGAATATGCTGCTAATCGTGGAGGCCGCTGGGATGTGGTCGAGGGCGAAGATGTTGTCCCTGGTCTGCTCGCGGATGGACGGACAGAAAATCGAGGCGTTGGCTGTAGATGGTGGCTTCGATGCTCGCTCGAGAAGGGAACACGCGGCGAACTTGAGGTGGTCGCGGTGAGCTCGTCGCCGTTCGTCGGGAAAGGATGAGGCGTCTTCGCCGGAAACAATGGAGGTTTCGCCAGAAATTTGCAGGTGCGCGTTATCAATTTCTTTTTTTTTTTGTATCTGAGCGAGAGAGAACATAGAGAGATTGGAGAAGAGGAGATATTTGAATGCTTCTGATGGAAGAACTTCGGTCAGATATAAGCGTAGATGGCGAACGTGCGAGAGGTTCTCCCTAAAGTATCACAACCGGATTGAAGTCGTTGAGGGGAGAGCTGTACCTGGTCGCAGGAAGGAGAAATAATCTCTTCTGCCTTGCCTTGCACGTGCTTTATAAGATTTGGGCCAAATTAAATTATAGAAATTGGGCCAAAACTTTGAACTAAAGACCAAGAAAATAATTGCTCACAAAGAAACATGGGCCAACATGATTTAATCCAAATGGGCTGGAGGAACCTTTAACTCAAAGAATTTGGGCCAACATAAAGGATAGCAATTGATCTAGAATTAATATCTCACAATGGCTAGGAAAATCACAACTAAAATTGGGCCGGGGTTTAATCGTCCGAGTGGACCGAAAATAAATATACGCGATAACCAAGAATTGTTTCCGCTCGATTCGATAGACCACAAAAAAAATAAATTAATCCGGATTATCTATTTTTATAATACACACAATATATATTTATATAATAATAATCATTTAAACAATTAATGACAATTAGACAAAAAAAAAAAAAATAATAATAATAATAATAATAATAATAATAATAATAATAAT